CTTCCTTCCTCCCTACCATTCATCCATTTCCTTTTTCTGTAACACTAGTTACTCAGATTTTGGACCTCCTTGGATCCTCTAATAATTGCTGTCTTGTCTTTACTTTCGGTTGCTATATCTTTTTATCAATTGCTCCTGGAGGGTGCTTCAATTTTATCTTCCCAGCCTCTATCTTTTCCCTCTCCCTAGAGGCTTTCCTTGAATGTCTAGTAAAGTTTGTCTGTCTGCTCATGATTAAAAGCAGGAGAGTAAAAAGACGATTGGAAACTGGTTTAGGTGTGGTCTGATACCTGCAAATGTGCCTCTTGTATCTCAAAGATTCTCTTTGTTTTTCCCTGTCCATAAAGTCAGTCTTTGACTCACTGAGATGAAGGAGAGCTGGTCACCTTGCAGTCATGACGGAAGAGGGCTGGGTCTAGGGACCAAAGTGCTTTCCCATCAACTTCTGTGGAATCTTCCTTATTTTATCCCCTACTGGTTCCCTATAACCTGCTCCCTCTCCATTTCCAGGAGCAGTTGGTGTCCTAGTTTATTTTGTTATCAGCCTGTGATTCGGATTCGGCTTTCCTGGGTTGGTTAAACCTTCTTGTGCTCATCCATGTGCTTTTAGTCCTGTTGCTCTTATCTCTTCTATTTGTGAGTTTAGGCGAAAAATAAAGTCTTACACTGCAGTTTTAGTGGGCTTTCATGAGAGAGTGAAATTATATGCACATTTTTAATATATCATCTTAATCCTTAAGCTCGGGTTATTTAAAATGTTTTTGTCTCTTGAGATTTAAAAAGATTAAAGTTAGCCTTTCCATCTCTTTTTTTTTCATTCGTATTTATGATACACAAACTCATTGTGTGGGACTGTATGAACTCAAGGATTTGTAAGTGAATCCAGAATTTATGAATAAAAAAGTTGATTGTTTTTTAAATTTGCTCTTGTAGGAAAGTGAAAAGGTTTCTGAATACCCAGCAGTGATTGTGGAGCCAGTGCCAAGTGCCAGATTAGAGCAGGGCTATGCAGCCCAGGTTCTGGTTTATGATGATGAGACTTATATGATGCAAGATGTGGCAGAAGAACAAGAAGTTGAGACCGAGAATGTGGAAACAGGTAGACATCTCACAAAATGTTCATTATTTATACTTTTCTTATTTTATAAGCTTCAAGATTACTATTGCCAAATGAATCTTATTGAAGAACCTCTTTTAATACTACTTAGTATAGCTTAGAAACCAGTGAAACATCTCTGTTTAGGGGAATTTATGTAGAAATAATAGAGTTCTACATTGTGATTCTTTGAGATAAAATAGTCTCATTGTAGAGTTTGCAGACAAAATTACAGCTCCATAAGCAAAATTGTTTTATTATTTTTTCCTGGGAATGAAAATACTCAACTAGTTGTTATTTACTAATAGAAGTCAATAGACTAGTGTATGAGAGTAACTTTTTTAATTAAAAAAATAAATATGATAGTCTCATTCTATAACTGATTAAGAGTCTTTGACTCAATGTTGATGGAGCAGTGTGAATTTTTTTCCTGTTAGGTCAAATGTATCTTTGTAATGGTCTGTCAGGTTCCTCTTTTTGTCTTCTTACAAATCTTAGTATCCATCTGTGTGGTAAAATAACTATATATATAACTTGAGATTAATGCATATAATTCTTGGAGAATTATTTTTATTTTTACCATGACCAAATAATAGGGTATTTTTTTAGAAGGATTGTAGTAACTATTACATAATAATAAACATGAAAATTTATTTTAAACCAACTGTTATTGTTGAAAAAGAAACCTTACACTTGATTTACTACCCTAGTGAAATTTTAGAATATTTAGATACGTTTCTGTTAATGTAGCAAACTCTTATGATTAAAAGTATTTGATGTTTTTCTGCTCTGTGAGGCCCAATAGCAATCCCTAGGACTGCTAATTTTTCCTACTTAAAGTTATTCTCCCTCTTGTTTTATTTTTTGATGAGCTGACAGTTTGAGATAAAATGGTCTCTACGTTACCTTGCTCTTAAATTACCTTGCTCTTCAGAGCACTGATTATGACTGTTGCTAGCTTGCTGCTGGTGAAGTGCTAATCAGATCATTTTATCAAAACAAGGAGCCACACTCTGCATACAACCTTCATGACTACACCTGAGTGGGACCTGATTTACAGAAAAAAAACGATAGGTAGTACAGCTAAAGAGTATTATATAAAATGATATTTTGGAGTAAAATTAAAAAAAAATAAAGACTGATTTTGTTAACAAATTGGAAACTTAGAGAGAGAGAGAACTACTGTGCCAAACTGGCATAAGTAGATAAATGTTTATATTAAAATCCCAGAGCATAGCTGGGAATGGTGGCGCATGCCTGTAATCCCCATGGCATGGGAGGCTGAGGCAGGAGAATCTCAAACCCAGCTTCAGTTCAAAGCCAGCCTTAGCAAAAGCAAAGTGTTGAGCAACTCAGTGAGACCCTACCTTTAAATAAAGTACAAAATAGGGCTGTGGATGTGGCTCAGTGGTTGAGTGCCCCTGAGTTCAAACCCTGGTACCCCACTTACACATTTAAAAAAAAATCTCCGAGCTTTTTAGACAAATGTTTAGTCGCCCCCCCACCCTCCTCAAAAAAGAGTGGAGTCTGACTGTGCTGTCCAGGCTAACTTTGAACTCCTGGGCTCAAGTGATCCTCCTGCCTCAGCCTCCCAAGTAACTAGAGCTAAACATTATTCCAGCCACTGGAGAGGCACAAGTACTTTCCACTGTGTTTGACTCCAGATGTTATTAACTATAAGCTGACTGTAAATGTTTAATTGACTTAAATTAATTCAGGTTAAAAACACTTTTTAATAGAAAGTGAATGTAAACCACTTAAGGGATTTAATTTTGTTAGTCTTCTTGAAATGAGGGTGATGATGTCATTTACAGGGTAGAGGGAGTGATTATGATATTTAAAAGGAAGATATGGGAAATCTGGGTCAGAGAACAGTTTTATAATTTTTTTTTTTAAGAAGTAGTTGCTTAGTACTTCATAATTTTTTTTTAGATTTATTTTTCTTTTATGCTAGAAAGGATGAAAGTACTTCAGAAGTTCATCTTATACATTTAATTCCATTCTGGCTCATGAATTTTAATGTAACTTTATAAAGATTATTAATAGTCATAGATTAGTTTTTAAATCAGCAAATCTGGGCTTAATTTTGTTTCTATTAAAGAGTCACATTTGTAAGTGAATTAAAATCTGAATAAATTTTCATTCTTCTGATATCTATATCATATACATGAATGGGTAAATGTTGTTATTACTTACTCTAATGTATGTTGGCCATTTAGATAATGAATTGGGATCAAATTAATTTCTCATGACAATAAAAGTTTTATAACTTAAATTCAAAATATGTGTAGGTTTTAGAGAAGAAACTAGGAAGAAAAGGAAAGGAATATTTATAAGATGGCAGTTCTTATTTGATGAATTGGGGTAATTGAGATCTGACCTCTAAGAAACACTTCCTGAAATCCTTCTACTATAATTTAGGTTATATCAGTCTAAAAAGTGTTCGCAGTTATATTTATAAACCTGATGTTACAGTTCACTACATGTTCACATTGAAGTTTTTCTTTTATTCCTGTATACACATACATGTATGTTCATACCATAAACAGTGTTCTCATTGTTATTCAGGAAGGGGTACTAAGATTATATAATGACTGGCATCTAGCCATCTTCATTATTTTGTGTATAAAAGTATTTCACATTTTGTTAATGGTAATTATGGGCTATTTTGCTACTGCCATCCCTGACCCCCACTGTATTTTTTTTTTTTTTGGTGGGGGGGCAGAGCTGAGGATTGATCCAGGGACTTGTGCATGCTGGCCAAAATTTTACCACTGAGCTACATCACCATTTTTTTTCTTCTCATAGATTAAAAGTATATTTTTTCCCTCAAATCACTTATGTGTAATACTAATGATCTCTTAAACTTTATAGGAAAAAACAAATAATTTGAAATTTAAAAAATAGGTATATTCATCTAAACCTTTAAGAAATTATTTGTCATGACAGATTTAGATTAGTAATCATCAGAGCCTCTGAGGAATGATTGTGAAATATGAAGGGGGATCGTGACTCTGACAGCCCTGAAATAACTTCGCCAGAGACTCTACTGGTTCAGGTCCTGTTTGTAGATGAATGTGATGAGTGTTGGGAGGAGAGGAGTTTCTTGGATTCTCTACAGAGAGTTGAAAATGCAGGTTTTCATGTTCACATTATTAAAAATTACATAAATATAGATATAAGTTTAATTGAATCTCAAGAGTTAGTAATTAAGCATATAAGGAAGTAGAAAGACTTGCAAGGTTTGGAGTAGAAAGTACTATGGAATTAGTATCTGAGTGGCTATAGGATGAATGGTAGGGGAAACTATGAGGTAGGAAAAGTAGCTATTGTCAGATGAGTTGAGAAATAGTAAAACAAGGTAGCAGTAATAGGAACAGGAGAGACTTATATAAACAGTATGACGGTGAAGATTTAACAGTACTTGACATAACAGGTAAAGGAGGGGCCATAGTCAGCAACAGTATTTCTCTATTCTTTGACCAGAAGTGATGGCGATGTTATGTAGGGATTTGAGGAGTGCAAAACTGTTTGGGAAGCAAGTAAGTTTGTTAATACTCATTTTGATTGTGAGTTGAAACAGAACATATAAGAAGGAATAAATTAGATAATTAAAGATATATAAAGTGTGTAGTCAGGGTCCCATGACAAAAGAGCTGCCATGTTCAAGTTAATATCATTTATGGACTATTTTAATAAAGGACTAGTTAAGAACATATGGGTAAGCTTAGGGTGATCAGAAGAGAGACAGCATTCCTCCATAGCTAGAAGGAGCAGCTGTTTCTGTCCTTTGGCTCAAGGGTTCAGGGGATGGAAGGACTGACTACTAGAATCAGAAGTAGCAGCTCTGGAGAAAACTCACCTTGGGAGATTCTGAAACCTTCATCAAAGGACACAGCTAGTTGGAGGGCAGTACCACACAAAGGGAACCTGGGATTAAGTGCCCTGATTTTCATTCTCCTCCTTCTCTGTAACCCCTGGCCAGAGCACTCCATTAACCAAAGCATTTCTGAAGCCACATGAGCCTTGTACATGAAGTCAATCTCCTGGGATAGAGAAATGTGGATAGTAGACCAGGAAGGACAAATGGAAGCTGTCTAATACAACTGAAACTTAGCAAAGTAAGGTTCAGGAGAGACTGATTTGGGCTTATCATTTGAAGCTGTGAGAAATAAATGAGATTTCCAAGAGAAGAGGTACTGAAGAGAGTTACCTATGGGAAGATACTTAGATTCTGTATTTGTCTCTGTGATAGAGAACAAGAGGACAGAGAATTAATTAATTAATCTTAGGGATGCTTCCCCCCACCTTAGGTACCAGGGATGGTACCCAGGGCCTCATACATGCTGGGTAAGCACTCTACCACTGAGCCACATCCCTAGCCCATAGGAATGCTTGTATTTTGGAGAACAGGAAGAAGAGTCAAAGAGTAATCAAATATAGAAAATCTTGGGTAACTATTTCTGAGTTTGATTCCTCCCCCAACCCACCCTCCCACCTTTTAAGTAACTTTCTTCAGTAGGAAAGGGAAGAATATTATTGATTCTGGTTAGATAGTTCCAGGTTTAGATTTGTCACTTAATTGGCAGCTTTTCAACTTTTCAGAGTGTTTCTCTGTCATAAAATAGGAATTCGAAGTTGTGAGGATTCCATAAAATAAATACTTGAAACACAGTGCCTTGCCTTGATTCCTGCCTTTCTGTGTGCCTTAAACACAGAACATTTGTTTAACTTTGTTTACATCTCTGTTGTCTTTCCCCCTTTCCTCTTACTTCCACATTTTAAAAAGGCAAACACTTTATGCCTTTCCTCTATACTTTTTCCTTATCATTCATCCCTTAAGTTATTGTGCTCTGGCTTATTTTCCTTAAGCACTTTGTTTACCAATTTTCAAAGGCCACTCCTTTACCAAATTCAGTGGTTCAAGGAAACATCCAGAAGTAGATGCTTCATCATAATCTGGCCTTCTTATCTGTAGAAACACTGTAGCCTCCTGGCTCTTT